CACACACAAAGTCGCGCGCAAACACACACACACACACACACACACACACACACACACACACACACACACACACACACACACACACACACACACACACACACACACACACACACACACACACACGCACACACACACACACACTCACTCACACAATAACCAAGGAGATAGCAAAAAAAAAGCCAGACAGTGATAAAACAATTAGAGAAAGAAAAGCCAGAGAAGAAGAAGGAAGAGGAGGAGGAGGAGGAGGAGGAGGAAGAGGAGGAGGAGGACGAGGAGGAGGAGGGGGGCAAGGGTGCAGTGCCGCCACCTGGGAAGCTGAGTGCCAGCTGCTGGGAATGGTGTTTACAGCGAAATGGACGGGGACGAAGGAAACGAAAATAAACACACAGAAGAGGCGTGGGAAGAAAGGAGAGAGTGGTTTCTGTGAAGACGGGGAAGAGAGGAAAAGAAAGAGATGTAGAGAAATAGATAGACATATAGATAGATAGATAGATAGAGAGAGAGAGAGAGTAAAGATGAATAAAAAAGAGAATGAGAGGTTTTAGAGACGAAGATGGAGACGAGAGAAAAAAAAAATCAGGGGAAACGAAGAAGGGAAGAGAAAGATAGGCTGAAACGAAGACGATAGGGAGATTTTAACGAAGAGCAAGAATAGGCGATATTTCAGTGCAGAAGAAGGCAAACTGAGCTTTAAGGAAAACAACCAGGATAAAAAAAAAAGGTTTTACTGTTTAAACTCATTCCGATGAGGAGGGAGGCATACAGGAAAGATTCGTGTGTGTGTGTGTGTGTGTGTGTGTGTGTGTGTGTGTGTGTGTGTGTGTGTGTGTGTGTGTGTGTGTGTGTGTGTGTGTGTGTGTGTGTGTGTGTGTGTGTGTGTGTGTGTGTGTGTGTGGGTGTGCGTGTGCGTGTAGGAGCATGTGCATGTGCATTACATCAGGATAATGGAAATAAGAATTCTTCAAACACAGAATAAAAACAATACTGATAACTTCCTGAAAAAAAGAACACAGAACACTGAAAAAGAGAAGAACAATCATACAGTTACTAAACAAATAAAAAATACAACCAAAACGAAAAAACAAGAAAAATCTCCAACCCACAAGAAGGTAAAAAGTGATCCAACCCTAAATTGTTGACTTGATATAACTTCTCTCACCTAAATCAGCGGCGTAAAAAACAAAGCAAAATTACGGCAAACAAATTAAGACGAGGGAAAATAAACGAAGATAGGCGAGATAACGAATAAGAATGCCTTTAAGAGCAAGACACACGAAAGATCACAAAGCTAACACGAGTTCCCTTTTGCGTGACACGAGGCGATGGGGAAAATTGGGACACAGGAAGGAGATGAGAAAGACAGGCGGGGGGGTGAGAGAGATGGCAGATTATCGACTGTGAACTGTGAGCCGAGCATTGTCAACTGTGAACTGTGAGCCGAGCATTGTCAACTGTGAATTGTGAGCCTAAAAATTGTGAACTGTGGACTGTGAGCTGAGCATTGTGAACTGTGAGCCTAAAAATTGTGAACTGTGGACTGTGAACCTAAAAATTGTCAACTGTGAACTGTGAGCCTAAAAATTGTCAACTGTGAACTGTGAACTGCGAGATGAGTGAGACTGAGACAGACCCAGAGAGATAAAAAAAATCTAGTGGGAGATGAGAGTTGCTAGATTATGAACTGTAAACTATGAGCTGTGACCTATGACCTGAAGGACACAGACAGACCAGAGAGATAAAATAACTAATAAAAGATGATAAAAACTGAGACTGTAACACACCAGGGAGAAGAAATAACCGCTGCAAATCATAGAAACGAGATAGACAGGCGGGAGATGAGAGCACTGTTAGACTGTTAACCATGAACAAAGAATGAAACGAGACAATATAATAACTATTGATACAGAACAGACGTAGCGCAAGTCGTTTGGGCCACATAGATGAGAGATGAGGAAATGAGTATAACAGATGAGAGACCTGCCAACCCCCCCCCACTCTTATAACCCCCCCTCCCCCCTCTCTCTCTCTCCCAGCCTCGGGAGATAGCGTGACGGCTTCATAATCACACCGGAAGGACATTAATTGGGGAGGTAATAATCCGGCCGCAAAATCCGACCAGGGAAAGGGAGACCCACGCAAGCAACCTGGTCCTCGCCCCCCCCCCCTATCCCACCACACCCCCACCTACCCCCCTTATTTTCACCCCCTGACCCCGAACGACCTGACAAAGCATCCTGACCTTTATCCCCCCCCCCCTTCCCTTCCCCCCAGTCTCCCCGACCTTCGTCAAGGGAGGATTTTCGTAGTATGATTGTCCGCAAATGGCACTGTGGCACTATACTTCGTGGGAGGGATGCAATGGACACTATATTTCGTAGGGAGATACGGCACTACGCTGTAAGGTAATGACACAATATTCCCCGTCTTTTTGCTGACATAGAGATGTGCATTGTGGTGGCACTGTCCTTCGCGATACGGCACTAAAGACATTTCCTACTCTGATACTATATTTCGTGGAATAACAGCCTGTTGCGCGAACGACACTATACACCATGACACAACAATCCACTTCTTTGACACTAATACCCTTTTGAAATGGGTTTAAAACAGTGCCATACTGTATACCACGGCGTCCCCTTCATTCGCCCTCAATAACTGCCTAATCCTAATCGAAGCTTTATCTTTTCTGATCTTGGCCGAGTCATCACTTTTTTCAAGACTCTTTATTTCATCTTCTACGTCAGTCTTCGTTATTTGCGTTGCTTTTCTTTTCTTTTTTTCTTGCTATTATTATGTAATTCGTTAGTCTGTTTGTTTTTCTTTCTTTCTTTCTTTCTGTCTCTCTCACTTTCTTTTTTACTTTTCCGATGATAATGCAAATAACAGTAAACAGAAAGAAAACGTTGAAATAATATTATCAAAAACATAAACAATATCAATATACCAATAACAAAAACTGCAAAAATACCACATTTAACAACGAAAAAGAAAAAAACAAAACACCATCACCATCGACTAGAACCCCATTACGAATAACAGTTACAAAAACAGCAAAATCACCAACACAAACAAAAAGAGACAAAAACAACAACAACAAAATCAACACGAACAATGATAATTCTTTTTAATCAACACGAACAACGATAATCTTTTTTTTAATCAACATTAACAACGATATATATATTTTTTTAATCAACACGAACAACGATATTTTTTTTTAATCAACACGAACAACGATAAAAAGACTAACAATAACAAAAAACAGCAAAATCAACAAAAACAGCGACAAAACCAAAACAAAATCACCAACACAAGCAATAAAAACCCCGACAGCAACAGCAACAACAATACCAACACCACCAACAACAGCAACAGCAACTCTACCAACAACAGCAACCACACCACCAACAACAGAAACACCATCAACAACAGCAACACCACCACCAACACCAACAACACCACCACCACCACCACCACCACCAACACCCCCCCCCCACCACCACCACCACCAACAGCAACACCACCACCACCACCACCAACACCACCACCACTACCAACACCACCACCAACAACACCACCACCCACAAACTACCCCCACCCCCACCACCCCCACCCCCACCACCACCACCACCCCAACAGCCACCACCACCACCACCACCACCCCCACCACCAACACCAACACCCCCCACCCCCCACCACCACCCCCCCCCCCCACCACCACCACCAGCAACAGCAACAACAGCAGCGCAGAGGTCAACCGCGCATCAAAGGCCCCGCCAACTCCATTACCATTAATACGATTCCCTGTTTCAAATTCCTCTCGCCCACCGCCACCTTTGATGTATCAGGCTGGAGGACTCGCGGGCTGCGGGATACATCGTGTTGTAGGATGTAGGATGTATGTTTTTTTTCTTTGTATATTCAAGTTTGTTGTCCTTTGATGTATCACGTTCGGTTCGAGTGTATGATGTATATATTTTTTTCCAGGTTGGGGATTGGTTGTTATGGGATAGATCATGGTGTATGATGTATGATGTATTATTATGGAATGGATCATGATGTATGATGTACTTTTTCTTTTTTTTCAGGTTTTGATGTATTTGCAATGTAGGATCGCTTTTTGGGAGATTTATGCGTGCGTGAATGCGTGTGTGAATACATCCGTGCATGCGTACATACCTGCGTGCTTACTTACATGCATCCGTACTTTTTATGCATGCGTCCTGTAAAAAAAACCCTAAATATAAGCCAAAAGCGATGCGCCTTTTCCCCTGCCATCTTCCCGCCCGCGTGACCTAAACCGTATTCACATTTCGCTGAAGGATTACCCGCCCTCGATCTCAGTGCATTCCGAGTTATTTCCATCTCTCGCTCCTTTTGTATTTTCGAAAATATCTCCTCTATTCAAAAAGGGACTGGGATTTTGGGGATATTCTCTTCGCGTACTCGAATCCGGGTGAATTTCGATATCTTTTTTTTTCATACTTAATGAAAATGGGGATAATGCTATTTAAACGAATCTTAGTGATAATGGTGAGGGTAATGCTAATAATAGTAGAAGTGGCATCAGCATCAGCAGAACAGTTTTAAATATAGTAGTAGTAGCAGTGGTAGAAATACAAGTACTACTACTACTAATAATAATAATGATAGTAAAAATAATAACGATGATGATGATGATGATGACTGATAATAATATAAAAAAATAATGGTGATGATAATGATAATGATGACGATGATGATGATAATGATGATGATGATGATGATGATGATGATATAATGATAATGATGATAATATAATAATAATGATGATATTAATAATAATAATAATAACAACAACAACAACAATAACAACAATACCATTCATCACAACATAATCCTCAAAAAAAAAACACAAAAGAAAGAAAAAAAAAACAAAAAAAAAGTCGAGCGAGTCCTCCCTTCAACACTCACATTCCTCAAAGGCCGAGATGTGATACGCGTCTCACTTTTCCCTTCTTACAAGACGTGGCCCTGGGTGGCCCTGGGTGGCCCTGGGTGGCACTGGCCCTCCTCCTACCTTGTCCGGCGCCGATGCCAAAAGCTCGCA